GGGAGACGTGAGCTAGGCTCGTTAGTGGTGAACACATGTTGCTTTTATAGTCGCTTGTCTCATGACTGCATTTGAAGTCACTGTCATTGATCATTGATCAGCGAAGTCGCTTAAATGATCGCGTTCGACTAAAAATCTTTAGCAATGCTGGCGATTTCGCGGGAAATACATTCCACTCATTGACTAGTTTCTCCACAACTTCCTGATAAGTTGACAGACGAGTTTCACCGGTATACCATCTGTGAAATGCGCCGTATTATTCCCCAGAGACTCGGGAAGACCAGTCTCGCCCACTGCCTTCTGACAAGCTGTGGACGCTGCCAACCCTCACTGACAAAGCCTCATGTCGCTAACAAGCCAGGCGCCTGTGGTGACAGGACAGTGTCTGATGGGCCATTGCAGTGGACCGGCGAGACAGGGGGTGGCGACGGCCACGGCGACGCACCCTGCAGCCCTACTTCTTCCATGGTCCCAGTGTCGCCGGCTACGGTGAATGTCTACAGTGAATGAATTGAGAATTCACCATCCAAAATGACCGCATGACCGCACAGAGTGGCAACAATCGACAGCTAGACCTAATCTAGCCTTAGATGTGTTCTCTTTCGTTAGAAAGATGATGACAGATGCCTAAAATTGTTTTCTTTCGTCATTGAGATCGAAGCTTTTATCTATCTGGAAAAAAAAAACGAGCTACGTGCATGTCATTAGAACTTCGCTCGATTCGACATATCCAGGCTCAGCACCAAACAGCGAACGGCGAACCGAGGACGACGGCCGGTACGCGCGCGGGCGTCGAGCTCTCGGCGGGCTCTCGTCAGGCAGGTATGCGACGCCGCGGTGGTTGGGAGCGAAGGTCACCAACGCGCCACATTCGTCCGCCGTGCGCGGCGTGCAACACACCGAGAGGGGAGGGCAGGCGGCAGGGGACCGACTGGTCAATGGAGCGTTGTTGCCGCCTCTTCCGTCAGGGTCGATATAATGTGAAGGCAGAGGGGAGGTGGGTACCACGGGGTAGAGCACGGGAGGCGACCGCGGGCCGGGTCAAAGGGTGGCATTGTCTGTTGATCGGCCTCTGGAGGGAGGGAGGGCGCCGCGGAGGTTGTTGACCGCTCCGCTGAACTGCGAGGTCACTCGGCAGCCACGGACGAAATGTCGCCGCTAGCGATCGATCTTAGTCGCTGATAACGACCAGCGTTACCGGACAAAGCGGTACGGTCGACTTCAACACACCCACTAACACGTCAATCCTTCAGTCAGCGGGTCTGCTTTCAAACATCACATGTCGCCCCCCCCCCCCCCTCCTCCGTCCGTCGCCCGAGCGGCCCCAACCGAGCCAAGGGGCCCCATAGACAGAGCGCCACGTCATCGACCCCAAACCCCCCCCCTCCCCCACCGTCCCACCACCCCACCACCCCACCACCATCTTTCCTGACCGAGCCTGGTGGCGGCTGGCGACCAGGAATGTGGCATTTTTGCGAGATCACGACCGGCCGGCATTGTGAGCGGATTTTTGCACTGCGCGCTGCCGTGGGAACGAGCGACCGGCGCTACTGGCGACGGCGGCCGTCGAGCCACCTGGCCGGGTGCTGAGCTGGGTGCTGGGTGCTGGGTGCTGGCCGGGAGCTGGGTGCTTTGTTGGGTGCTAGGATGCTGGACGCTGGCTTCTGGATGCTGGATACAAGGCTTTATGTCTTTCTGGGGACCGATTCCTACGAGCTTTTGTATTTGATGATCAGTCAAGCTCATTAGTCATTGGTTCAGGAGATAGGCTCAGATGACAGATGCAAACTTTCGCATGCATGCGGGCAGCGCGTCACGTGGTCTCTGAGGTTATACTGGCTGTTGGGGCGTTCCACGACAAATCGACAAGTGCCCTGCACCCTCATATTTTATTTTTTGCTTAAAATTGGTCTAATGGGTTGTGATGGGCAGGGAAGCCAGCTGTGGCAAGGCTTTTTTTCTTCGAACAACGGTTTCCGAGATATAGCCTCGGGCAATTCCTGGAGTTCGCGCTGCAGCCCTATGTTTGGCGGCCTATAACTCAGAAACTATTGGTTTTTTATGATAAAAACTTTAAATGGTTCAACTCACAATCAACCAACAAACATTTTGGCTATCTCGGATTTTCAATTTTTGAAAATTTTGATCACGTGACCTTTTGTCCTATTTTTCGAAGAGTGACCTTGATATTTTCCCCACTGAAAGTTGCAATTTTGTCTGATGACGATTAAAGCCTTATCAATTGTCATTCATATGCGATATTAAAAAAAGTGGTTATCGCCCTGCGTTGACCTCAGGTCAGGTCATTTTTATGACCTGTCCATTATTACGAGCGGGAGCGACAGCGAGATTTCAAGACTAAAGCGAGATAGCGACAAGCGGTAAACGGTAAAGGGTACACACGGATAAGGTCTATAATTTTTATTGAGGTCATTTTCAGGTCAGGTCAAAGATGACGTCACAGGAGCTAAAAGGAAGTCAAAATAGCGGCACTATACATATATATGACGTTTTTCTCGAATAACTTTCAAGGTATCCCACCTAGGAACAAACTAATAGCACCATCGTGATCCTCTCATCGATCTGCATCGAAACATATGTATGTTGACCTCGAAAGGTCGAAAGGTCAAAAGTTGACCTTAGATCACGTGACCTAAGGTCAACTTTTGATCTTTCGACCTTTCGAGGTCAAAATACCTATGTTTAGATGCGGATCGACGAGAGGATCACGATGGTGCTATTAGTTTGTTCCTAGCTGGGATACCTTGAAAGTTATTCGAGAAAAACTTCATATATATGTATAGTGCCGCTATTTTGACTTCCTTTTAGCTCCTGTGACGTCATCTTTGACCTGACCTGAAAATGACCTCAGTAAAAATTATAGACCTTATCCGTGTGTACCCTTTACCGTTTACCGCTTGTCGCTATCTTGCTTTATTCTCGAGATCTCGCTGTCGCTCCCTCTCGTAATAATGGACAGGTCATAAAAATGACCTGACCTGAGGTCAACGCAGGGCGATAACCACTTTTTTTATTATCGCATATGAATGACACTTGATAAGACTTTAATCGTCATCAGACAAAATTGCAACTTTCAGTGGGGAAAATAGCAAGGTCACTCTTCGAAAAATAGGACAAAAGGTCACGTGATCAAAATTTTCAAAAATTGAAAATCCGAGATAGCCAAAATGTTTTTTGGTTGATTGTGTGTTGAACCATATAAAGTTTTTATCGTAAAAAAAAACCAATAGTTTCTGAGTTATAGGCCGCCAAACATAGGGCTGCAGCGCGAACTCCAGGAATTGCCCGAGGCTATATCTCGGAAACCGTGGTTCGAAGAAAAAAATCCTTGCCACAGCTGGCTTCCCCGCCCATCACAACCCCTTACACAAGTTTTCAACGAAGAATAAAATATGAGGGTGCAAATTTAATTTTTTATTTGTCGATTTGTCGTGGAACGCCCCTGTTGCGCCTCGAGTTCTGAGCGCCGGCTGAGTGCCATGTCTTGCTGCTGACTGGCCATTTGGGCCCATCGTATAGCAACAGGTAGGCGCCTCGGGTCACAGCGCCAGATTAGAGCGTGTTATTGATGAACCGATTTCAAACAGCTCAGAGAGATATTACGGGGATGAGAGAGAGAGAGAGAGAGAGAGAGAGAGAGAGAGAGAGAGAGAGAGAGAGAGAGAGAGAGAGAGAGAGAGAGAGAGAGAGAGAAAGAGAGAGAGAGAGAGAGAGGAGGAGGAGGAGGAGGAGGAGGAGGAGGAGGAGGAGGAGGAGGAGGAGGAGGAGGAGGAGGAGGAGGAAAGATAGCGAGAGAGAAAAGGACAGAGACAAAGATGCATGCAAAAGAGGTAGACATACGTAAAGCCTAAAGGGTGCAGGGCAAAACGAAGAGGCTTGCAATGCGCATTAGTGAAATTGTTAACCAGTGCAGTTGGGGTTCGGTTTTGGTCCCTGACTGCAATATACCCGCAGTGGACACGGGTAGCCCGCGAGTGACCACACCACGGGAGGTCGCCGACCTCTGGCGACCCGTGGGCCACCGGCCGCGCTGGTCAACTGACCATTGCGTTGGGCCCGACTGCAGGGGAGGGTCATCATGATTGTCATCGGTCGCCATCTCCCACCCAGTCCAGTCAGCGGGGATGCGACAGATAATAACTGCCCGTGGAGGGTGCAGCAAGGTTCAATCTGTGCCGAAAGAGGGATGCTATAGTGTGGAAGAAAACGATTAACGGCTTTATGCAATTATGGGGCGGGTAAATATTGCTACAAATAAGTATGTTGAAGAAATAATAGCCTTCCACTCGGACCCGGAAAGTGGAGAATAAATGGAGTGCCTACACTCGCAGCAGATGAAAAAAGATCTGAGAAGGCCTACCAATATGGCGTGCATTACCCGGACGTCTGTATTTGCAGTGCAAGCAGCCATCTGTCGCCTGTCGCGGCCGCCACATGTGTTTTGTCTTTGCGATTCAGTCTCAACATGCTGCAGTCTCTGTTTCTATTTCCGCGTCGGTGCCCGGCCCGCTATAGGGCGACGATCCACAGCTGTGTGACCCAGTTGTTGGGGCGTCGCTATCTCTGCTCACTCCCCCAGCAGAACCGACACACAGACCGTGACAGGCCGGTGGTGCCACCCCAGATCGGACGGTGACCGCGCCCCGGCCAATGTCCGACGCAGGGGTGGATAACCCGGGTAGGGAGAGTCCGGTCTCTATTCGGGCCGGGTCACAGCCCAAATTTCTATACAGAGTTCTATACTGTCCATAAAATTATAGGCCAAGAGTGGTTGTCTTGCTAACCGCAGCACGTGTCATATCTCGAATCCGAGACTAGTGATGAGCTTTCTTAGTAAGCAATCTTGTATAGAATAGAAAGCTTTGCAGAACCTATTAAAACCTTCAAGGTCTACGGCACAAAAAAAGGTTCAATGCACATTCCGTGAAACCCGGCATCCCTGTTCCCTGTCATGTCACGACCCCGTGGTTCTGACCTACCTATGGAGCCCGCCTGCCCAGTTTGCTGGCGTTTGGTGATCTTCTCCTCGATGAGGGCGCGAACAGAGTTGCTGACGGTGGTCAACGGACCACCCAACTCCTTCCGTTCCGTTCGTTTGTCGTTCTCCTGTGAAACAGACAGACACTCGGTGATAATTGGCTCAAGTGGATAACCCATGACGTCAGATATTCAACGACGCATTTGGGTAGGACGGAACTTATCTTGGGGCGGAGGGGGACGAGCGAGGAGTGTTGGATTCAGAGTCTTGAGGGTGACAGTTCCCTGACGTCGCCGCCCGTTACTTCACAGTGCACAGAGAAGTTGGCACTACTCCCAAAATCGCCCCTTCCCTCTCTCGCTCAGCTCCCTCTTACCTAGTGATGACGTTCGTTTCGCGTCACCTGATTCATACCAAGTTGGGCTAGGAAGGTATTTTGAAATCTCCTGCTAAACAGCGTTTCCTATGTCCCAGTTCTGCCCTCTCTACTTCACAATGTCCTTCCCATTCCACCCACTTCAATCCCCTTCGTCCCATCGCGTCGCGTCCCGTCCCGTTCCACCCACTCCCGTCTCGTTTCGTCCCGTTTCGTCCCGCTCCGTCCCGCCACCCCGGCCATTCCCCTGCCGGCTGACGAGGTCGCCGTTTCGCAACTCCCGGGCCCGCACGGCGCGTGTGCGTGTGCGTGTGTCAGTCCGCGCCGCCGCAGCACGGGGCCTGCCGGCCGCTAAAGGGCTTCAGAGCTCACTATTGAGGTCACCAGACAGGGAATTTTAGGTCAGAGGAGAGAGCGATAGGGGAGAGGAATAAGGCCATCGCGGCGAGAGGTCGGGCAAATAGAGGGGATGTGCTTGTCGGTTGGATCTGAGGGCCTGTTACGGCCCATTAGAGGATATCTCAGCCAATCACCGAGGTCCTCTCTCGCGCCTGTGCCGCCCTATTAGTGGAGTGATGGGGAGTGATTGGTCACTGATGGCCCTCCATAGTGACGGGCGAGGTCAGCCCCTCCCCGGGCCGCCAGTCCTGTCCTGTCCTGGACCGGTCGGCGTGTTTTCACCATGGAGACGGGGAATAGGACCCGCCCCGCACCGGCCGCCATGTTTCGCCCATGAGCAGAGGAGTGGGCAATAATCAGAAACCATGCTAAAGGAGTTTTTATGATGCTGGTCTGCCAACAACGCCCAGGCAACTCGTTTTGAGGAATTTAAATGGAATTAATGATTAATAACTACGTCTTTTGTCAGTACCATCAGATCCCAGCTCAACAGTTCCAGCGATCTTGTAACGCATCAACTGTCATCAGTTTGTCTGATGTCCGTCACGCCTCCAAGTCAGAGGCGCCAGAAGTGCGTTGACGCCTTGCGACAGCCGACAAGTCTCTGCCAACTTCCGTGATACGGTCAACAGTTGGCAGATTCGCGCGCCTGCCAAGTCGCGGCCCACTGCCGCCCGCCGCAAGTTCCGACCCAAACTGTCCGAGTTTAGTGAAGTAATATCGCGCTTTGTTCCCCGGCACACGTGCCTGCGGCGATGATTGTTTTCAGGTAGCCGAGGTCGCGGGTTGGATTAATTTTACCTATCCCGGAACGTTCCCACGCGTTGAGGGAAAAGAAGCTGTATGCGTGTGTGAGAGAGATAGGAATATATCAGTGCACAGGTTGCGTGCACAGCTTGCATGCATTGTGCGTGAGGCGGACCGTGTGAATGGGGCCACAGATTGAAGGTAGCAATCGATTTTTAGATTTCAGTTCGATAGATGATTATGAAACTATAGACAAGTTCGCGATTAAAACTTCAGCTGAATGCCAGGGCTTCTGGAAACTGGTTTCGATAGATAATGAGCTGCATTGTTTCAATGGTTCGGGTTCATACCGTCCGCGCTAGTTCTGTGTAGACAGAGTTATTGTTCCCGGTTCCAACACTGTCTGGCACTTTGGCTCATAACAGCCACTTTATGTCAAATCATGGCCCGTAACAGAGACACAGCGAACCTGTCGCAGTTCCGGTACTAGACTGACCCGGTCACTCGTCGTTACACTAGGCCTCCGTCAACAACCACCTTCTGCGGCACCCTACAGTACCGGAAGACGGACATTCGTGACACGAAGCCATTACCCATCCGAAACGGGGCAGCGACGGGCCGGCACATCTATAAACGAGCCCAAACGGCCACTGTTGCTCCGCTCGGCTGGGTACTCACGTTTGTGGCGGCGCGTGTGCGGCCAACGCTAGTGGCTAAGGGCATGGATGGACAACTGCACTATGGTTCTAGCAATGAAGATGGTACTGCGACGACCGATACACTTGCATGCACCCGTTGAACAGCCAACGGGCACCCAACCAGCACTCATGTGGCATCCACATTGCACCAACATCGAGGCGTTTTACCACACCTTCCGGTTGGCAATAGTCACACTGGCTTCACCACAGGCGACCTTCGTTCAGGACGGCGCCAGGGAATCGACAGAGGAAGACGACTGGACGGCGACGGCGGCGACGCGACGACAGGGGGACACGACGCGACGACAGACCGGGCTTCTGGCGCCGGACAGGGACTCTGCAGGAGGCGGGTCAGGAAGGACCACCAGTCGCGCCCCGTAGCGGCCAACATCCTCCGAATTGCAGCAGTGCACGTGATCGAATAACTCAGGGACATTCCGCGATTAGGAATCTCAAGGTCAGAACAAGGTTATCAGCGCTGGTCGAGCCAAATGGATACCCAAATATATCGCCGCCCCGTGTTCTGGCCTTATTCGGTCTATATACATACATACATAATTCTGTCATCGGTGGAAACCATAAAATTCTCATTTTTAGAGTTCGTATAGGCAGCAGGTGCGCCCGGATGCGTTAGCGCCCCACCCGCGGAAGCCGACCGCTGCCGAAGTGACACACAATGTCACATCGCCCCGTTTGCCATCACCGCACAGTTCGACGCAGCGTTTGCCGGCCCGCTCGTTGTTCGTTGCTCAATACGGCGCACTCAGCTCCATGTCACGGATGTGGCTGGCGAGGCATTCGCGCCGCATAGCGTTGTTTCCGGAGAGCGGACAGCGGGCCGAGATAGGATCAGACGTCGCGCTCAGTGCACCGGATACTTGGGCCGCAGAGCGGAACTGCGACCCCGACCGCGCCCGACGGGCCCCAGCCGACCCGGAGAGAGAGTCAGATCGCTCGACAGGGCCCAACCGACCTGTCACGACCGTTATAACGGACCTACAGCGACCCAGACCGAACCTATGACGACCTAGAGCGACCACAAATCGGACACCCTGACGATCCTAAGCGAGCCAGATCGTGCCACAGCAGCTCAGACCGGACAGAGCTCAAGCAAACCATGGTATAAATATGTTATGGATAAGGCATGTTTACACAAAAATATCGAACACTCATTAATTTTAACATTTCCTTGCGCCTAATAAATGAAATTCAACGTTATTACAATATCCTTTAAAATTGAAAGTGGAAGCTTACGGATACTAAATTCTTTCTTTCAGCTCGGTCATGTTCATTTTCAACCAGTCAACGATTTTCCTTTTACCTCAGAGATCTTGAGACAAATAGCGACAATAGACGCCGCTAAATCTTCAGGCTAAGCGATGCGCTGTGATTGTCTCAGGCGCGCCAAGGTTGTTCCAGAGGCGTCAGAGCCGCCGCGGCCCCTCCATTACAGCGATACATCCCCTGTCGCCATTGCGGCAGACTGGTGACCACTCGGCTCCGTCTGGGTTCCCGATCAGAAGCTCCGACACGGACTAATGATGTCACTTTGTTGGGTTTAATGACGTCACTTGTTGACCAAACAGCCTCTGCGTTAGGACAGAATCACCAGAACAGATCTAGGAAATCTGAACTTTGTGAGAAAAGTTGCTCCAGCTCAAGGTTACTTCGTATACAAATGGAAGCCCTTTTGCAGGATAAGAAATGCCTTTGAATCCATGGCCAGATCACTATGTGAGACTTCAAAATACGTCGACTGGGAAACGGCCAAGTTTGCTGTGTAAAAAAGACGGCCACAATACCCATGATACCGCTTATATTACGAAGCCAAGTTTTCCGCTGCATAAAGCATTTGTCCTAAATCCTGACATCCTTACTAGAAAATGGAATACTGTGCCGACTAAGTGATTATCACGATGCGCCGTCACAAAAATGGGAAAATTCCATCAACGACTGCGAATTGGCCACGTAATCCTTTATGGCGAGGCTGGCCATACAGGCAAATCGCGTCGAGGAATCTACAGCTGTAAAATAAATCCACCGCTGAGTGGGTAAACTTGTCAGAATCAGGTGAATCGGCTACTGTATTCAGATCTTCACAAAAATTTCAACCGTTCAAAGAAAATAGCCCCGATGAAAACGCACGCATGGTTCAATCAAACAAACTCCAGAGACTGTGACACCGTGGGTACTGAAGTTCATCGACCTTGCACTCGACCGGCGCGGCGGCCTGGTTGCGCAGAAGGAAATCGGTCCGGTGGCTGCCCGACCAACAGGTGTAGCATATATACCTACCGGTCCTGTCCAGGAGAGCCCAAACCTGATTGCTGATCCTGCAGTGCCGCAAATGCCGGCTGCAAACGCGCAGCGTAACTCGGTAAGCGTGTAAAGGCACCAAAAATGCCACCAGAAACAAGATTGTCGGACACGCGGCGCCTTAAAAATTCGAATGGCTCGCCTTATATGCAACGGAATATTTATTTCTTACATTCACTTGACCAATCGATTGTGGTTGCCAGCGAGCATTACCAGGACGGTAAGTCATCATGCCTGGCCATGTGTTAAAAACATAACGAAGGTAAAACTATGAAATGTAGGACAGAAGGCGTCATGCCATCTGATGCAGGCACGTGATAACTAAAATCGACTCGGTCCGATCTTCCCGGTAAGTTTGTGTGGGCTGTGGCAGCAACCACAGCCACCTCGGCGACAGCACATACATCTGCGGCCAGTTTTGACAGCTGGACGGGCTGTCAGACAGGAAGGCGGACAGGCGGCCGGTCAATCGGCTCCGCGCGGCTCAGCTCAGCTCAGGGGCTCAGCTCGGCGCGCCTCGTGCCGACCGCCTGGAGATGGCATGATAACGGGCACGTGGCTACCTCGGCTGCTACCAGCGTCACCGCCGCCG